CCTAGGTTGATAGAGTACCCTTAATCGAAGGTGGCGAATTGGTGACTTTAGTCGAGGAGCCAATTCGCTATTCTGTACCGAAGTCAATTCGGTAGTGGAGGTTTGGTTCATTAGGGCCTCAATCTGTTTACTCCGGTGGAGGTTAGTCGCCCGCTAGAGACTCAGATTGGGAGGGTCTGGAGACCTTTAGTCGAGACTTCAGGCTAATTGAGAACCTTCCGCAGTATAACTTTCATGAAAACTGAACTTGGTAAATTGCAATCCGACTTAACTACAGTCTAGGGGGAACCATATCCGGGTGACCTCTCTTGACTTGACAACAAACCGTTTACTTGCTTTGTGTTTTGTTTGCTTGAGTTGCACTAAAAGTTCACCGCTAAATAACAAGAATTCACCGAGTAGTCATCACATCTAGGACCCGGGTTGACATTAAAACCCGACCCGCTATACTACGCTTTAGGAAGTGGTTATACTTGGCCATTTTCTAGGGTGACAGTAGGAGTGAGTCACTGCTTCACGAGATTTCGCTGCAGATTTTGGTGCAACAGTTTTGGATTTCTTCCTCACGGGTTGTTCCTGAAACATAGTTAGATATTAAGAAAACTATCCAGCCAAGGAAAATATTAAAATGCATCCGACTAGTAAATTTTAGCCAACATAACCAATCGAGAAATGGAGTAAGAAATGAAACCTATGGTTGTTGTTCATCCGGTGGCTGCTTTGATGATCCTTCTCCCTCATTGTTGGGATTTGAGTTCTTTTTTGGTCTCCCCATTCACTGAAACAATATAAAAAATGACCACAATAAGTATCAGAAGTGACAAAACTGATATCCATGTAACCTTTAATCAAGGAATCGACAAACGATACCCAGATTCAACAAAATCGTATCCAACAAACCCCCAAAATGGAATTCGAGAAACCATAATAAAACAATATATAAAATGACCAGAATAAGTATCGGAAGTGACAAAACTGATATCCATGTAACCTTTAATCAAGGAATCAACAAACAATACCTAGATTCCCCAAAATCGTATCCAACAAACCCCCAAAATGAAATTCGACATACCATAAATCTGGTAACTAGAAAAAAAACCAGAGCCCCAAAATTCGAATCCCACATACCCAGAATCTGGTAATCTACAAACAAAACCCTAAACACCCATATTCGAATCCATGAAACCCTAAATCTACAAATCGAGAAACGAAACCCTAAACCCCCAAATTCGAATCCCTAAACCCCCAAATTCGAATCCCACGGACACAAAATCTGGTAATCTTGAAACAAAACCCTAAACACCCTAAATCGAATCGCATGAACCATAAATTTTCAAATCCATAAGCAAAACCTAGATTTCTACAAAAAAAAAATCCATGAAACCCTAACTTACTATCCACAAACAAAATGAACAATAAAGAGGGGAGAAGTCTTCTACCTCAACGACTTCTTCTACCTCTCACTATCGGCGGCGACGGCCTTCTTCGTTGGCGAAATCGGCGGCGTCTTCTTCTTCCTTCTTCGTCGGCGGCGTCTTCTTCCTCGTCGGTCGGGATAGCTTCAACGACGTCGGCGGCGGGAGATCCAACAAGCCATCGCCGACCTCGCAGCCCTCGTCGCCGTCGCAGCCCTCGTCGCTGTTGGTGGTGGTTTTTGGGAGAAGAAGAAACAGAGAGGGAGAGGGTTCAAAAGTTGGAGAGAGAGGGGAGAATGGCTGACGCGGATTGAGGTCGGGTTTTGGGTTTGAAATTTTGGGTTTTTGTTTTTTTTATTTCTTGCCCCACTTCTCCCAAAAGTGGCTCGGCTTGCCCAAAAAAATCCTTCCCCCTCACAGAACAGCGCCGGTGATCCCTCACCCTCCGATGGTGGCTCGGCGACGTGGCTGCTCATCCCACCCTGTTAGTATCTGCTAACAACTTAAAGGGTTAGCAGAATAACGCTATTGCTCTCCGTCTCCTTCTTAGGTTAGAGCAAGCTAGAAATTTGATTTAAATGGTTTGTGTAGCCGAATCCAGGTTAGGGGTTGAATTGAAACTGAAATTGAAATGGTGGAATTGTTTGTGTTAACTGTTAACAAGTCAGTAAGCTGGAGCAGAGGAATTAGCGACTTGCTCCTTCCTTTTCGTGTAGTAGAGGAGAGCAGCAGCAAAGCCGAGCACCAGGCAACAACAGAGTTGATTCATTCTCCCGCTCTCCCACACGGTTACTCAGATAACCGGTTTCTAACCGGCAACCGTCTAACTGGTTAACCGGTTAACCGATAGGGAAACCGCTTTGGTATTCGGCATTCCCACACCGAATTTTGGTATATCGTTAACCGGGTAGTCGGTTATCGGTTAAACCGGTAACCGACCGATTACCGCCCCTACTCGCTGCCACAGGCCGAGTGTCTTGATCTTTCTTCGTCGTTGCCGCTGTGTTTGAACCAAGCGATGACGCCACTTGATGAGCCCAAGGAGGGACTCGGATGATCAGAGCACGCAACTAGGGTAGAAGTCTTCGATGTGGTGATGGATTTGTGGGAAAACAGAGATGATGGATGGATGGATGGTGAAAACCGAACAAGCAACTTGACACGAGAGGGAAGAAGCTAGTTAGGGTAGAGATTACCATGAGATCGAGGATGATTGGCTCGATCTCCTAGTCTGCAATTCTCAGCCAAAAACCAAGAACAACTAAGCTTGCAAGCTTTGGGAAAACTCCTCCGAGTAAACTTTCAAATAAACTTAACTTGTCTTACAACCAATGAGAAAGGCTATTTATAGCCAAGGATACCCTAACACAATCCTAATTGGACCTTGAAACGAATTACAAACAAAACAAGGAAAGAAAAACAAGTAAAACATGGAAACTTGCAATCCAAGTAACATCCTTCTCTGCCAAGCAAACTATCCATGAAATCAGTCCTCGTACCAACTTTTAGCTCCTGGAAAACGACATTCTGGGTTGATTTCCAATTGCAGGATAAGGTTTTGCACGACTTGCAATCCAACCCTTATGGGTTCCTTTCCACGATCCAAGTGCACCAAGTTGTAGACGAACATCCAAGGTTCAAAACATTGCCTTAAACTCTAGTTTTCAATGAGCCATTTGAGAGCAACACCCCTCCAAAGTGGGCTTCCCAGAACGGTTTCCACACTTAGAAAATTTCCAGCTCTGTTCTTGTTAACTCGGATCGATCTTGGGATGATTAATAGAGATTCATCGATTGATAGAATAGAGATCATATCACATTTCCCGGTCAAATCACCAGTGGAAGCACCCCGCCGCAGCAGTTCCTCGTTCCCAGTGGGCAGTAGACCTGGTAAGCTCCGACGTGGTGGACGACATTGGCGATGTCGAGGAGCCAGTACGGGTTGTAGAAGCCGAATCCGGTAAGGAGGTTCCCCGGGGATTGGTCGCCGAAGGCTGCGTAGCCGAAGCAGCCGCAGAGCATGTAGAAGATGGTGGTTACGATGATGCTTACTAGTGATGCTTTCTTCATCGTCTTGGCTTCCGATGGCGGGGCTTTGATCGTGTCCTAAAATTGCCAAAACCATGGAGTTTTAGAAGCAGAAACAGGGGAAATGAAGAACAGGGGAACTTATAAAACAGGGGAAGTATAAAAAACAGAGGAAATTGTTATTAGTGTTATGTAGTACCTTAATTTCTGTTGATTGACGTTCCTCGGCGGCGGGGTGCTTCCATTGGTAGCGAGGATTACTAGATATTATTTTTCAATTTTTTATATTTTTAATGGCTGCAATAATGAGGTGGACATTTGAAATTTTATTATTTATTTATTTTTTATTTGCCTCGTCACTTATTTAACGGTCAACTATGAGGGTTGACTGCCACGTAAGCAAAAGTTAATGGAAATGGACGAAAAGTGACCAAACTTGAAACATTTAAGTAATTTTAGTGACCACAAATGAAATGAAATATTTTTAGTCTCCAAACATGAACGTTTTTAGTAATATCAGTAACCAACTTTCAATTAACCCCCTTTTTATCATTTTCTTTTATCACAATGAATGACAAAATATAACTATCTTTGCTAATATTTAAATAACGTGGTTACAAATGTCAAAGTTCTGAATATACATATGTATTTTATTTTTAGTTTATTTCTCATTTTAAAATTTTAAATTAAAAGTTTTTTCCCTTTCAACCTCACTCTTCTTCTACTCTGTGTCCATAAAAAGAAAGGATACATTTTAGAACTTTCTATGAAAAATTAGACTAACTATAGCCTCATAACTCAAAATAAGAGTAATGAGATATTGATACCATTTTTAAGTGTGATGAAAAATGATTGCAATGAAAAGGAAACAAAGATTAATGCGAACGAAGGTGGAATAACTATATAAGTGAGTATAGATCATATACTTGAAATGTTCAATTTGCCAAATTAGTGACATCAATTTTTATAAATTCATGCTCAACCAGTTTTGGACAAAAACAATTTATTCCTTGACGCTACATATTTGGTATACATTTTTAGGATCTTCAAATGACAGAGTTTCACAAATCTCGGATGAGATGTATTTAGATACGAAATAAAACACCAAAATGGCAAAATCAATGATCCAAATGCCCCATATATCTCTTTATCGTTAGTGGCCTTTTGCTCCTTATACACTTCTAAAAATATGTGAATGGCCATTAGCTCCATTTATTGGGCTATGCTTCTCAAGTTTGATTCAATCATATCGGATCTTTGAAATGCTTCTTTATGGCAATGTTGTTGAATCAAAGGCGTCCTACTATTCTGAATGCATTTGTTTACTTTTTAACCCCACTTACTGTACCCTCTTAATTGTTTGTCCGACTTTCTTTGCACTCTATTAATATATATAAAGTTGAACACAAGTTACTGTTGCCTAAACTAATACATTTTAATACCTCAAATTTAATTAAATTACAATTTAGTCACTATAATGTACATTTTATATTTTGATACCTCAAATTTAAAATCATTGAACATTTATGTTTTGATATCTAAATTTTATATATAAAATCATTGAACATATGACAAACTCACACCATCCATTTCAAATAGGATTTGTCTCGTGGACACACGAGCAATCCAACCCGTGTAATTTTCTTTTATTCTACCCATTCTTACTTCTGTAGGTTTCCCTGTAATAGGGAGTTCCGCGAGAACTCTTGCTCATATCTTACCATTTCTTCTAAATTGTCCGTTGAAGGAACGAAGTCACTCGGCCAAAGGTTTATCATATGTTCAACCGAAGGGAGAAGGGAAGTTGAAGGCAAGTTACCGTTGCCTAGACTATTAAATTTTGATACTCCAAATTTTATTAAATTACAACTTAGTCACTAGAATGTATATTTTACATTTTGATACTCAAATTTAATTTTAATGGAAAATTATTGAACAATTATGTTTCGGTATCTAAATTTTATAAGATTTTCATACTTACATTTTTTTACTTTTACACATATTGGTCCAATGTTTAGATTTCACTTGAATCCATGAATCCAATCGACCAATTCTTTTGAACCAATCCATGAATCCAATCCACCATAACATAAAAATATAAATTTAGTTTGTACCATACAAGATGTTGTATCACTTAACTGTAGGAGAAGATTCGACCATTTTATATTTGCTCAGTCTGTGAAACATTAAAAAATAAAATAAAAGTGAGACGATTCTAAAATATTGCAAGAACAAATTTATAAACTCATTTAGTACATTTACGGGGTACTACTTCTACTAACTACATGTAACAAAATATGCGACATCTATATAAGCAAGTGTCAATTAATTGCTACGGTAAAAATGGTTGACTATTGCATTGACGGTCAACTAAAAGAATTGGTCAAAACCTTTCCATCATCTACTTCCCCTTCGTTTCATTTTTTACCCGCATTCCATAACGGTTTGTTTATTTCTTTCTTTGCCTTCTTTGTCTAACCCTAATTAGTATACTATTTTTATGTATTCTAATCACAAATATGAACGGGTCCATACACTACTGACCAACAATCTAGAGAATTAATAATTGAACCTTGAACCACTAACATTTTCAGCTCAATGTTGAGTCCAATTAAAAACAAATATATATGACTATTACTTATTAGAAAGTCGTCATTTTCCACTATGAGATTTGAAGGCATGAAATTTTAACCGAGTTCCAGTTTGTATTCCTTTTGCTTCTTTCTAGAGTTTTTCTTTCCCTTTCGTTTCATTTTTCACTCGCCTTCCATAACCGTTTCTTTATTTCTTTCTTTGCCTTCTTCGTCTAATCCTAATTAGTATACTATTTTTATGTATTCTAATCACAAATATGAACGGGTCCATACACTACTGACCAACAATCTAGAGAATTAATAATTGAACCATGAACCACTAACATTTTCAGCTCAATGTTGAGTCCAATTAAAAACAAATATATATGACTATTACTTATTAGAAAGTGGTCATTTTCCACTATGAGATTTGAAGGCATGAAATTTTAAGCGAGTTCCAGTTTGTATTCTTTTTGCTTCTTTCTAGAGTTTTTCTTTTTCACTCGGGCTAGAATTTTTAACAATTATACATGGAATTTTCAACAATTATACATATCAAATATATATTTTTCCTATTTTCTATAAAAAAGTAAATAATTATCATCTTAAATACATCACCATAAAAGGAATTAAGCCTCAACTATGCAAATTGCAGTTGGGTAGCTAAACTTAACAGATCTTTAGATTTATAACCTAAATTTTTTTTTGCATATAATTCCTCAAAATATTTATGAAATATTACATTTGAGTACCTAAATTTTTTGTGTTTTACATCATAGTACTAGAACTTTTAATGTTCTATAAATAGGTATAATTTTTGTATGTGTAATTAAAACACCCTCGAGTAAATGGGTATCCATACTCATCATACACAACTTTAGATTATAAAAGTAAATATTCATACCCTACCCAAACCCATCTACAAACTTCCAAACTCATATATACGTCACACATACCCTAGCCATAATCAACGAGTCTACTTGGGTTTAGGTAAATATCATTTATTAGCCAAAATTTTCAAAATTTTTAAATTGAATATTGACCGCCATATATCTATTCTCTATCAATATCATATTGTCAAGTCAATATTATTACTAACGAAACTGCTAACAAAAATTAATTTTGTACTAATAATACTTACAAAACACCCATAACAGGCCACATAGTACATGCTCATAGGCCATCTCCGCCCCGCGACAAGTCGCGACATCACCACCTAGTTATTATATATATGTTGATATCTTGTGCAAAATGGGAGAGCAGTGAATGATGAAGTAGAATTGAACCATGCAAAGACCACTTTCCTCAATCCAAAAGTTTGGTACAAAGGAGCTGCATCTGAATTGCAGCTTCAAGTCCAAAGTATATTCCATGCTCAAAGCCACAAGAATATATATAGGTGGGGTAAGAATTAGTTATGTATGGGGTAGTTCTTTGGTGGAACTTATGGGCATGCATTTTCAGAATGTTTTCCCCCTGCATAATAATGATAAGGATGAGTTGGGGAAAGCTTGGTTCAAGTTGGCAGTAGAGAATTCAGAAGAGGCAATTAACAGTCAACAAAATATTCCAACTGCTATACTACTTGCTAGAGTTACAAAATACTAACTAAAAAAGGGATGTTTGCACTGATCTTATGATGCTACAGGTAGAGGAATTGAAGATAGTTGTAATATAGAAGAGCTCTGCAACTTCCAGCATGGTTCCTTGCTAAGGAAATTAGTTGCTTCCATGGTCTCAGCCATGAAAGTAACTGAGAATGATCTGGTTCGGAGGGCTTTGTTCATTTTTTGCAAGGTAAACAGTAATGTGAATCTGGAACTTGGCTTACTTTCTTTTTTATGAGTTTTCTGCATTTATAAAATCTTAAAGGTTAACATGAGACATTGAGACTGATATGGATCCCAAAGTAGTTATGATGAGCAAAGAAACCCAGTAGGAGGATAGTGTGGGAAACACAATTATTTGCAGTTTTGGGTTATTTCGTATTAGAGTCGGTTTTTATTGATTGGGGTATTATTTGGGTATTTGGGGGAATAAACAGGGAGTTAATTGTTACGTTTTATTATTCGGGTAGCAGTTAGGAATTAGACAGGTTATATAATCTGTAATAGGGTCTTATTTTGGGATTAAGCAATAACAGAACCAAAAACCTAAAGTCTAATTCTCTCTTCTCTCTCTCTCTCCTGCGTATCCTCCCTCCCCCTTTCTTCTCCAAAGCTGCGGCTGCAGCACCCCTTTTCCCTCTTCTTGTTCTCAAAATCCCCAATTCTAATCCCTAGTTAGATCAATCCCTAATTGATCTAGCTAAATTCCCCAACTCCCAACCTGTAGGAAATCTTGTTTCCTACATCTGGTATCAGAGCCTGGCTCGAGAGTAAGTTCATCTGAACTCTTGAACCAGGGAAAGCAACGATGGTGACAACGAAATCGATGAAGGCGGCGGAGGAGAAGGCGCAGGCAGCCGAGAGGAGCACCGGAACGGGCGGTGTTGATCGCGACGAGGTGGTGATGGAGGACCTTACCGAGCTGGAGGCGGTGAAGGAGGTGGTGCACGAGCACTCTGATGCGCTAGCCAGGCTCGAAGAAGGCCTGGCAAGAGTGCAGGCTGAGGCGAAGGAGGATGCTGACGATCTGCGGCGAAGGCTGGAGGACCTGATGAGGGCAATCACCTCGTTGCAGGCAAAGGGAGGCGAACCAGAGAGAGCGCCGAAACCGGCTGAGCTGATGAACGAAGGGGGCGGCGGCTCGAGGGCGGCGGAAGAGGCGGCTGGAGGTGGGAGCACCGCGGCAGCGGCGCTAGAGGCGCCGGCGGGGGCGAGGGCCGCGGCGGCCGGGGCCGGTAGCGGAGCCGGCGGCGGGACGGGTTCGGCGAGGGCGGCGGCGGCTCAGGCGGTCGCGCCGAGTGAAGGGGCCGAGGGGAGCAGGGTGGCGAACACCGGGCCGGCCAGGCTGATCGGACTCCATTAGGGCTGGGCTCGGGCCTGTTACCGACACCCACGGCCCAAGAAATTGCGGCCCGAAAGGGAAAGGCTAAGATGGTTGGGTATGACGCAAATGGGCCTCCTATGAATGGTGGGCCGGGACAGATGGGCCAGTATACGAGGGTCCATAACGGGCTGGGATGGCTGGACCAGGAATATGGGCCCGAGTATGACCAACTAAGCTTGGCGGGCTAGCAGGCCTAGTGGGCTGAACAGGAGATGAACCAGAAGGGGGCTGGTGGGCCGAGCAGGGCCGCCGACCAGGTGGGGCCAGGCGGGGCGGCTCCTTTTGGGCCGGGACAGGCGGACGGGCCAGGAGGGGGTCGGGCCGAACCAGAGCGGACCGGTATTGGTCGGACCAGTGTTGATCGGACCGAGTTGAGCCGAACTGGACCCGGGCGGACCGGGATGGGTCGACCCGAGGTAGGTCGAACCGGGCATCGACCGAGTCCAACTGCCCAGCCGAACCGGAGGGCGGACAGCAGGGGTCCAGGAGGAGGAGAGGGCCATTATGAGGCGCCTCATGTTCCAGGGGAATACCCGAATCAGCCGGGTTGCTATCCGGGTGACTATGGACATGGGAATCCTAACCAGATGCAGTGCTCTCAGTGGGGGCAGCCATGGAGGACGCCAGGAAATGACAGGTATGGGTCCCAGTATCCAAACTATGAGGGAATGGATGGGATAGTTTTTCGAGCTAAGCCTCCTACCATTGAGTTTCCAAAATTCAATGGGCAGGAGGATGCAGGTCTCTGGTTGTATGCAGTTGAGAGGTGGTTTAAGAATCACCCAATTCCGGAGGAGAGGAAAGCCTACCTGGCATCGTTCTATCTGGAGGGCGATGCGCTCCAATGGTGGGAGTGGATGGAGAGATCCTATGCAGCAGCAGCAACCTTGATCACCTGGCCCATGTTTCAGGAGGAGCTCCGTTATCAGTTTGGGAAGTCAGATGGGTGGGCTCCTGAGCAGTTGGCAAAGCTGAAGCAGACCGGCACAGTGGCAGAGTACCGGGCGGAGTTCTTCAAGTTGGGGAACCAGTGCAAGGGAGTCTCGGAGGACACCTTGGTGGGGCTGTGCATGGCGGGTCTCAAACCCGAGATAG